ACAGAGATAGAGCCAAAAGAAACCTTGGAGACCATTCACTCCTAACTCTATTTACACAGGAACTCAATGATCCCAAGTCACTTAGTCAATTAGTGGAAGGCCAGAGACTAAAGGGTGATTTGAACATGGAAGCCTGGAGAGTAGAAAAGAGTGGGATAGTTATTTTCTCTGGTTGTCTCGACATGACTGCACCTCAGTAAATGAGGGTTTGAAATCCAATCAAAAAGACCTGAAGCTACAAGTTGGTCTGCAAATGGAACAAGAGAGAATCATGCAAACCCTTGGGAATACAAGGAAAGTCAAATTTATCTTTATTCTCAATAGAGCCTAAGATAATTCTTAACCAGAATTTAAGAGCTATTAAAAAAAAAAAAAGCAGCTGAGACAGCCCAGCCGGATGAGGCCAGAGCCAGAATGGACTCGGGGCTTGGAGCTGACCATGAGGTGACAGAACCCCTGTTTGCACGTCTGAGTAATGAGCTTGCTTTGGCTGCATTAACAATCACAACACGGCTGAGTGGGAAGATCTTTGCAGGGTCTGTCACTCACCCTGGGTCCGAGACACCTTGCCCCATCCTACAGCTCCGATACATGTGGCTCCAGGGGCCAAGCTCATTGTTGGAAACTTGGACTTTGCCCAGACGCATCACCAAAATAACTCTTGCAAAAGGGAAAAATCAACAATGCGGTGTACCAGCCTCAAGAAAGAAAAATGTTCTCCATCCCAACAAGACAGAGCTTGCTGCCAAGTTGTTAATCCCTTGCCTTAAGTGTATTTTTAATCCTCCTCTACTTTCTTGGACACTTTTGCTTTATAGGAGGATACTTGGGTTTACTAATCAACAGTCACGGGACGGAGGTACCTCCTGTTCAGCCTAGAACATGGAGTCAATTCCACTCTGTGTTCATTCTCACTGGGGTTCAACTGCTCCATCTGCAGCAAGAGACAGTGACAGACGCTGCAGCCCCTTCTGGCTCTAATACTTGGCTCCCAGGGCACCGTCCATCGAACTTCCAGGTCAGTGCCTCAACCATCCATGCAGAAACAGCAGCAGCCTGCTCTCTTGGGGCCAGGATCAAAATATAAACAACACAGAGATTCCACCACCTAGGAAATCCTCACCTAGGAAAACCTATCTGTGGATCGAGATAAACTTCTTGTTCTCATATAATACATTAAGGCACTGAGCTGATGGCATTTGGGAAAGATTAATTAAAATAATGAAAATACAAGTCATGAGAGAAATCCCTTTGTTTTAAATATAAAGAATTGCTTCTGCATTTGCTATCCCAGAGAAACAGGAGCAACTCCGTGGTTATGTTGACGATTGCCTTGTTTTTCTCCTTTAAAAAGATATACAAATTCTACTAGAAGGAACTCTTCCTAGCTGCACAAATAGACATTCTATCAGTTAATTTAAAAAACAAGCAAACATGAGAACTAGCAACCTTGGGCTACTGGGGAAAAAACTGACAGATCCCATTAACACAGTCTCTTGTTTCAGAGGAAAAGAAGACATAATTTGCCCCAAACGTGTTTTCTGATTATCACAAATTTGGCAATCTGCACCAGTGAGGTAGTTCAGAAGAGATGCAAAGTTGCAAAAGTAAGGACACTGAATCTAGACTCCATCTTCTGTGTGTCCCATGACAGAAATGGAACTTCTACTGGAAGTAGGGATTTTACTCTTAACCCTACACACACAGTAAAGGATCACTCATCATCAGTGATTTATAGAGACTTTGTTTTCACAGTCATGGTGAAGAGTTTGCGTAAATCATGGAGCATCGCTCGCCCTGGTTCCCCCTGAGACAGAGCAAAACTGGCTGGCTTTCATAAGCTCCGAAGCTGCAGCCTTCAGTGAGTGTAACAGACCTAGCTGGGTATAGACAATTTCAATACTTCTAGCTGCAGGACAAAGGAAACGACTGACCCTGTATGTGGTGTGCAAAGGAAGCGGGAGAAAGAAATGTCCAGATCAAACGGCATAAATGCCCATTTTCTTAAGGCAATAGACCCTTCCGGTGTCCTGGGGTTATTTTTGTTGTTGTTTTGCTATTTAAATTTCATGGGCAACTACACATTAGATCAGCACTTCTAAAATTGAAGAGATCTCCATCAAATCATACTAATGAATACAACATATTGCTCACATTGTGTTGTAGCAAAAATTCCTATCAAAATATTCCCCTCCCATCTGTAGGACTATATGGGACTTAAAACTATGCTTTGAGTTTAAGAAAGGACTTCTGGCCTGGCTGAATTAAGACCTCTGCAGACCCTAAGAAAGGAAGAGATAAATTCCCTAACACACACCTAAAAATAAGATTTTATGTGTGCTAAAATTAAAGAGATTGATGTCTAAATTTTTTAAAGAGCAAAATTCTAGATAAATTAATCAGAGCAGAACTCTTCCCATTTTTCAGGGCTTCTGCTTACTACAGATGGGCTTGAACTGCTCATTAGACAATCCAGTGGAAGCTGGTGGTCAGCCGGGTCCCTCACTACTATGAGATTAAAATTCATACCATGGTGAAATTGCAAAGGACTGTGTCATGAGATTTACATAAACTTTTCCAAAGGAAGGAAGTTCATGGGTTTTATACTTAAAAGCTTTGGTTATTGTGGTTATTTGGGCCTCACCAATTTGCTCACAAAAACTCACCCCTGATCAGCTACAGTGTTGTTTGGTCACTGAGTCGTATCCAACTCTTTGCAACCCCATGGACTATAGCCCGCCAGGCTCTTCTGTCCATGAGATTTCCCAGGCAAGAATATTGGAAAGGGTTGCCATTTCCTTCTCCAGGGGATCTTCCCAACCCAGGGATCGAACCTATATCTCCTGCTTGGCAGGCAGATTCTTTACCACTGAGCCACCTGGGAGACAGCTAGAGTGTAGTTGTGTAGTTTCATGTAAATGGTTCTCCTTATACATTTGTTTGGTATTGAGTAATACAAAAAAGAATTTATAGTCAAATTATCTGCATCTATTAAAACAGGATGTGTCCTGGGAATTCCCTGGCAGTCCAGTAGTTGAGACTCTACTCTTCTTCCACTGCTGAGGCCTGGGTTTGATCCCTGGTCAGGGGAACTAAGATTCCACAAACCATGAAATGCGGCCAAAAAAAAAAAAGAGAGAGAGAGGACAAAGTAGGACGTGTCTTATTCCCAGTTTTGACAAAGAAACTGATCTAATTTTAAGACCATGGGTCAGTGGACTCCTGGACAGCCCAACCATATGAAGCCAAAGGGATGGCGGCCTAAAAGTCTTCCATAGAACAATTGAGAAGGTTCCCTTTTCCCTGTATGAAATGGTCTTCTACCCAGGCCATTACCCAGAGTGATTGTCTTTTGCTGTTGCTAAACCCAATCTAGGCTCTTGCCCAGGACCTGCTGTTTTAAAAATTATGGGTTTTAACACATATTAACAATAAGTTAGAAAAACTCAATAAAGTTGCCCCTAAATACTAAGAGGGCAGGAGGTATAGAAAGACATGTAGCAGCAGAGATCATTTGAAAACTAGATAGTCTTCTTACTTAATGAATAACTACTTAATACTTTTCAACTAATTCTCAGAATCTACCTTCTGACTTGCTTCTTTCAAACCAGCCCGCAGTATTGTCAATTACCGGCATGGGACAATCAGACATAAATTATCTCCTCCTGAAAGTGGGTCTTTTCTCAGAATAGGTTTCATCTTCTGGTATAACTTTAAAAATTCTTCACATTATGGCAAAGTTTGTTTGTGTGTTCACCTAGAAATACATCCATTAAACAAGCATTGCTTTTATGTGTACCAAGTGTCATAAGTTGACTCAGGCCCATAGGAGACATCCATGAACAGAAAAGTTCCCACTCTTGGACCTGACATTTTGTTTTAGGGAGAATCATCCAACCCAAGTCAACTCTGAACTGGTCACATCTCACCAGAAAAGATGCTTTCTTTCAGAGCTTGTCTTACTTGAAGAGGCCATAAGGGGAGAAAATTAAAGCCCTTGTATTACCATGAAAACCTTTTGGAATTTCATTATCTTGTGTGTGTGTCAGTCACTCAGTTTTGTCTGACTCTTTGCCACCCCATGGAGTGTAACCCACAAGGCTCCTCTGTTTATGGGATTCTCTAGGCAAGAGTACTGGAGTGGGTTGCCATTCCCTTTTCCAGGGGATCTGCCTGACCCAGGGATCAAACCTAGGTTTCCAGCATTGCAGGCAGATTCTCTACCATCTGAGACATTAGGGAAGCCCTTCAAAGTCTTAAAACTCATCAAAAGCATGTTTTCCAAAAGACCTCCTTATCTGTAGCAAATGAACATATTTCTAAGCAAATGACAATGATGAATATTTCTGAGCATGATGAGAAAAGAGAAGAAATGCTCTCATCCACATGGATTTCCATATGGTGGATTCATCTTATTTCCAAAACGGCATAAGAATTCTGCCGTGTTACATAAAAACATGTTGGTTGATATGGATATGACCTAAAGGATCAAATGATCTAAGTCTTAAAATTAACATTATTCACTAACAAATGGTCTATTCAAGCAGGAAAAAAAAAAATGATCACCTCCAGCTCTATACAGGAAATTATTTTACACACTTGTCTCGTAAACGTCCCAGCTGTGCTGAACAACAACTGTCATACTCAGTGAAAACACCACATTAAATTATTGCGATATTCAGTAAAAGGGTCTAATTATCTTTTAAAGCTGTCATTGTTTTTAAGCACATGAATAATTCTAAACCTTTTCTTAACTTGTAAAACAATTTTTACCTTCCTACTTAAAGACACTTAAAAGGCTTATTCATCACCTCCAGCCTCACCCTATAGTCACCCACTGGATTTTTAATTACCACAGATAAACATCAACATCTGTCACCATACATAATATTTACAGTTGCAAATTTGATTCCACTGTCAAAGAAAAAAATTTATTTAGAATATCTTTTCTTTCAATGGGATGTTTTCTCGCTCTCTTGCATGTCTTCTAAAGACGACAGTTATCTAAAAATGAGAGCTTCATTTTCTGGAATACCATACTTCCCTTTGTGTTCTTCAAATAATTTTCTCAGCTCCTCCATGTAGGTCTGATGCAACTCCTCAATCTGCTCTGAGGTTGGGTGCAGGGTCTGATGAACAGGGATTGGGCGGCCAACTGCAAAAAACAAAGAATGCATCATTAAGTAAGAAACCAAAAAGCACTCCACCACGGACTACCACCTCTAATGGACAGCCCTAGAAAGGTCTTCCAATCAGAAGCTGTCAGGCCTGCCCGCTCCCATCCCTTCTTCATTTTACTGGCTGCCTGCAGTGGTCACACCACCTCTTCTGGTGACAAATAAAGAGGCTTCCTTCTCCGCACATGCTGGATTCTCAGGGCACTGGTGGTTTTGACTTGGAGTCAAATAAACTACTGTGCTGGCTGCAGCTGTGGGGTACGAGCACACGGCTGTGTGTGCACGTCACCAGCTCTCTCCCTCTGGTGCAGCTGACAGCCAGACCACACTGCTCTATTATCACTGCCCCGGGAAAGTCTTGCCTCATGAGCCATCAACCCTCTAATCTGGCTCTTTGTAACGCCATCCTATTGAATGAAAAGAATATACATCTTCACTGCCGAGTATCTGGACTAGAAAACACACCTAATCACAAGGGTTCCACTGTGTTTAACGGCAGAAAACAAAACCAACCAAAAAATCTTCATAGAGAAAATCATTAAACAAATCACAGACCATTCATTCAATGGAATTCTAGGCAGCAATTTGTTTTTGAAAACTGAAATAATATTTTGGAAACCATGTATGGTGACTGATATTAAATAGATTTACTGTGGTGATCCTTTTACAATACATACAAATGTCAAACCAACACGTGAAACTAATCTGTTATATGCAATTATATATCTCAATGTAAAAAATGAAATATATATGTGTGTTCACACACATATGCAAAAGTCTAAAATGCAGTAGGAAGGGGAAAGCTGTAAAATAATATAGCATAATTGTATTTATTGAAAATGTTCTATATCTAGGTGCATTATAAGCTTTTAGTCTACTAAGAAAGTCAGCCAAGAGACACTGCTAGCCCTTACATGGAGGGAAGAAGGGAGAGCTGGGGGACTTATATTTTATCTGTATTGTGTCAATTTTCTACAATGAGAAGGCACTAGTATTACCTGTATAATTAAAAAACGGACTAATGTTTTAAGACCTAGCATTTATATAATAAATAACTTTTACCTCCCTTGTCTCAGATATTTAAAGAGTAGATACACGTGGCTCTCCCGCCTGCTCTTCAGTCCTCGCTGCTGTGCATTGCGCCCTCTGCTGGCCTGATGCTGCTACTAATGCCAAGAGTTGCGAATGTACAGGATGGTCAACGCCAATCGCTGAGCAGCAAACTGCTTATTATTTTTGATCGGCTTCCGCATGAGGTCAAGTGGGGCTGCAGTAACAGAATGGCACTCGTAGGGCTTCCTTTGCCCACATGGAGTCTCCCCATGCTACCTCCAAGGCTCAATCCATGTCAGTAACAAAGCAGGATTAGTTAAAGAGAAACCAGAGAAAGATGTGATAAACAGCAGAAAGAAGTGTAAAATAGTGTGGGAGGTTAGGGAGCACAAGGAAGGGAGTGATACAGACACACACACGTGTGTATCATAATGCATCATACATTAAGATCTATATCTATATTTATATACAAGGTTATATATAATCTATCCATCCTGTGTGTGTGTGTGTGTGTGTGTGTATCCTCACTGCAACATTAGTATTCTCAAATTCCTATATTTTTAACTAGATACAGCCTCAAGAAGCTCATGTAGAGTTTTCCTCGAAAGCTTGGATATCAAACATATATAGTAGGCAGCAGTCCTTTGTGATTCAACATAACAGTATCACCGTCAGTTGTGGTTGCTTTCCCCCCATTCACATGGTTTGTGAGATCTTAGATCCCCAACCAGGAACTGAACCCAGGTCCAGGGCAGTGAAAGCACCAAGTCCTAACCCATGGGCCACCAGGGAACTCCTATTGGTTGAAATACAGACTAGGAGAGGCTGAAAATGGATGGAAACAGGAGCTGGTGTTGCATAAGAGGCGCCAGGCTAGACCACATCCAGGGCTAACTCCCCAGCAGGTACACCCAGCTAGTAAGTAACTTCCTCTCTGACCTTAATTTTCACATGTATAGGATAAAAGTCATATAGTCAAAGCTATGGTTTTTCTAGCAGTCATGTATGGATGAGAGTTGACCATAAAGGCTGAGTGCCAAAGAATTGATGCTTTTGAATGTGGTTCTAGAAAAGCCTCTTGAGAGTCCCTTAGACAGCAAAGAGATCAAACCAGTCAGTCCTAAAGGAAATCAACCCTGAATATTCATTGGAAGGACTGATGCTGGAGCTGAAGCTCCAAAACTTTGGCCACTTGATGTGAAGAACCGACTCACTGGAAAAGACCCTGATGCTGAGAAAGATTGAGGGCAGGAGAAGGGGAGGGACAGAGGATGAGATGGTTGTATGGCATCACTGACTCAGGGGACATAAGTTTGAGCAAGCTCCAGGAGATAGTGAAGGACAGGGAAAACTGGCATGCTGCAGTCCATGGAGTTGCAAACAGTCAGACATGACTTAGTGACTGAACAACAACAATAGGATAAAAGAATAGGTGATCTTGAGGCTTCCTTCTAGCTGTAAGGCTTCCTTCATGGCCCAGACAGTAAAGAATCTGCCTGCAGTGCAGGAGGTCCAGGTTCAACCCCTGGGTCAGGGAGATCGCCTGGAGAAGGGAATGGCTACCCACTCCAGTATTCTTGCCTGGAGAACCCCATGGACAGAGGAGCCTGGCAGGTTCTAGTCCATAAGAAGGCAAAGAGTTGGACATGACTGGATGACTAAGCACACACACACATTTCTAGCTCTAATCTTTGTTGTTGTTTGACCCCCCTCCCCAAAAAATAGAAATTTACATGCATAGTGAGAAATCTACCTGTAAATCTACTAGCAAATTTGTGGTTTCATAGAAATGGGTTTGTTTTCTTGTGAAGTTATCATGGAGAGAGATTAAACGCAACTATTCTGGGTGGGAGGGGGGATTTATAGTGACACAGGGTCTAAGTGGTCTGAGAAGATGAAGTTTTTTAGTTTGTTCCTGGATTACTCATATTGTTGTTGTTCAGTCTCTTAAGTTATGTCAGACCCTTTTTGTGATTCCATGGGCTGTAGCCCACCAGGCTCCTCTGTCTATGGGATTTCCCAGGCAAAAATACTGGAGTGGGTTGCCATCTCCTTCTCCAGGGGATCTTCCTGACCCACGGATCGAACCCATGTTTCTTGCATTGGCAGGCAGATTCTTTACCACTGAGTCACTTGGGAAGCACTTAACTTCAATTAGGACTTGTGAATTCTGAATTATTGAGTCCTGTTTCCTATGAGCTAGCCTACAGTTCATTTCAATCCTGTTCTTTTCCTACTAACAGTTTTATTATATTTCAAAGAGCTCAAACATGCCCACATACATTGAATTTATCATAAGACTTTCCCCTTCAAACTGTGATTGTCTTTTTCTTATTTAACCTGTACAGAAAGTGAGATGCTGAACATTTCCAAACTTCATACACACATACACAGAAACAAACAGAAACCAAAGGGAATTAAGATTTAAACCCAACACTTTTGCCCCTCATTACTAAACTAACCCAAAATTGGATTGGAGAGTAAGAAACTTTTCTAATTACTTTTTAGGGATAAAAACAGAGGTAACAAAAGAAAAACCTGCAAATCTGAGAAGCACCTTCGGAGCCCTAGAAGATCAGAATTCCCTCTTTCCAGAAAAAGGAGATTTTTACTAGTAAGGAGAAGAAAGCTGTTTCAACATGAGACTGGGTTAGTTGCAGACTGCTACATGACTTCCTCTTTATAACACAAAGGAAAAACCAGTTGTATCAGTTTATTCTGGAGGTAGAACTCATTGCCCTGGAAAAAATCAGCTAAAGTCTACTTGTGGCAGAGGTGGGAATCAGCTCTCATTTGTGTTTTGGTGCTTTTTATAGCTGGCATGCTCCTTTGTTCCACTTTCCGATTCCATCCAGCAGTTCAGGATTAGTTATGTCTTTATTGCCTTACGTAGCAGTCTTGCTCTAATTTTCTGTGATATTGTTCTGTATTTCCCCAGATGAAGAATGAGCAGCTTTATGAGTTGTATTTTCAACTGGAAAAGAGCTGTCCATTATTTTCTTCTCATTGAGGCAAAGAGTAGATCTTTTACAATAAGGAGTCTTTGTTCTATTTTTCTGTGATTATGAAAATTCTGCCGAGTTTCTCTCTCTAATGGTCTCACGGAGGAATTCCTTTTTCTTTAGATGCTACATAGCCATACACTAGAGAAAGAGACCAGGCAGAGAGCTGGGCAGAGTGGGGTTGGGAAGACTCAAAACCTGGGTTCAAGTACAACCTCTGGCTTACAATGGAGTCGCATGCCCAACGTAGGCGTGTGTGTGTGTGTATGCATACATATGCACATACACACATACATAAACATACACACTCATGAACATTTACTGAGCACTTAATATGTTGTACGGGGCACCATGCCAATCCCCTTATTACTACCTCTTAGGTGGCACAGTGGTAAAGACTCTACTTTCCAATGCAAGAGAAGCAAGAGATACAGGTTTGATTTCTGGGTCAGGAAGATACCCTGGAGGAGGAAATGGCAACCCACTCTAGTATTCTTGCTGGAAAATCCCATGGACAGAGGAGCCTGGTGGGCTACAGTCCATGGGGTTGCAAAGAGTCAGACACGACAGAATGACTGAGCACAGCAACAATCCCTACTTTATAATTAAAATTTAAATTAGGTTCCTCTTTTCTTTCTATTGGGTTGGCCAAAAAGTTTGTTCAGATTTTTCAGTACAATGTTATGGAAAATCTTAAAGAACTTTTTGGCCAACCCAATATTTCAGAAAAATCCCTTAGCCGTTTTATCCCTCAGGGTAGAATAACTAATTGAAACAAAATGGACTAGTTTTGTCCTCAAGTGGGATCCAAATCAGTTTTATTTAAATAAGGTAGATTCCCTTTCCTAACACTTTTTATAAAAAAAAAAAATTCAAACCTATAGAAAAAATAATACAATAAGCACTTGCATGCACTTCCTCTAGACTCACCAATTTCAAACATTTTGCACACACACATACACAGTATATATATAGATATACACATGTATTATTATTTTTGTTTTTGTAGAACCATTTGAGAATAAGTCATAGACATCACTGATTCGATCATGCTCATGCTATAAAGACAAAGAACATTTTTAAAACTAATCCAGTTTAAAGCAGACTAATGAAATGTGAAAATTAAATGCAATGTATGATCCTGCTTTGGGAAAAAATACTGCCCTTCACCAAAACCCACAACTAAAAAGAAAGTGATTGTGGCAACTGCTGAAATTTGAATATGGAGTGTACACAGTTAATAGCATTTAATTGATGTTAAATTCCTGTATCCTACTGATACTATGAAAGAGAATAATCTTGTTCATAAGAGAGATACATAAAAGTAATGAGGAACAAATGGTCATGTTGTCTGCACTTACTTATATAGTTCAGTGATAACAAGAGTATAAAGTGTATTTGTGATTTTATGAGAGAGAGAAAAAAACTGTAGCAAAAGTGTTAACAAGTGGTGAGTCTAGGAAAAAGGAACATAGGAGTTCATTTTACTACTCAAGAGACTTTTCTGAGCATTTGAAATTTTTCAACATGAAATTTTAAAACTTAAAACCAACACCTACTACAACACATGAAATTTCCTCTTTTAAATAGCAAGTTTCCCTTGTATTTTACTTTCTTGCCCAAACAACTTTCCATCACATTACCGGTACTGGCTCTACAACTTGAACTTATTAGTAAATTGAGGGACTTTCCTGGTGGTCCAGTGGTTAAGGCTTCACCTTCCAGTGTAGGGGGTGAGAATTTGATCCCTGGTCAGGAAGCTAAGATCACAAGCCTCATGACCAAAAAACCAAAAACATAAAAACAGAAGCAATATTTGAACAAAGTCAATAAAGACTTTCAAAATGATCCACATCAAAAAAATCTTAAAAAAAAATAACATGTGTATGTGTATGCTCAGTCATGTCCAACTCTTTGTGGACTGTAGCCCACCAGGCTCCTCTCTTCATGGCATTTCCCAAGCAAGAATACTGGAGTGGGTTGCCGTTTCCTTCTCCAGGGGATCTTCCTGAACCAGAAATCGACCTCACATCTCCTGCATTAGCAGGCCGGTTCTTTACCACTGAGCCATCTGGGAAATTTATTTAAAATTTTTGTTACTACGTACTTGTTCAATTTCTGAAAACTTGAGAATTACAATCAGGCCTAACTAAAGACTAATTTGTTGATTCACAAATGTGTCTTGAGCTCCTACCCTGAGAGCACTGGGGACACAGCAGAGAATAAATACAGCAAAACCCCTGTCACCTGGAGCTCTGCTGAGGCAGAAACAAAGAAAAAGCAACATTCTTGCAAGGAACTGGGACTTTTTACAGCTGTTCTTGAAGTCTAAACTCACTTTCTTTCTCTCTCCCAGTTGTCATGATAGATGGGACGTTGAAATCAGCTTCTCTCTATTATTATGGAATAAAATACAACCTATGTGAACAGTTTATTCTACTTTGATAAACTGATAATAACTCAGACAAAATATGTAAATGACATACTACTTGTGACACATAGATAGAAAATATATATGTGTGTACCACACATGGTAGTTTCTTTATAAATTATGTCCAATGAGAATGACCCTGAAAAATCATATCATATAATTTCCCTCATATCCCCCCAAAATACCAATGACCATACTCTGCACGTAAGGGATCAAAACTAATATTATGACCAAAAAATGGAACCACTTATCTTGAAAAATATAACTGCAAGCTTAACTTATCTCAGTATTCCTATTACACTGATTAATCAACTGTTAATATTCCATTTGAGTTAAAAACAGCAGTTTAAAAAATGTCACGTGACTGCATGTGAAAGGCAAAGCTGTTACAAACTGACAGCAATAAACTCCCATTCCAAGGAAATAGATCAAAAAAATGCTTGAATTTCATTTAATGGGCCATTCATGGTGAAATTATTACTTCCATTTCATATGTGTATATAGTCTGGCTAATCTTGCTATTAGAAATCCACTCAGCACTTTCTCCTTTTCCACTCTCCAAACCCCTTTTCAACCTCAGGCGCAATTATTTTCCTCCTCTGTTCTTCAATAACATGGTTCTTACCCTCCTCCCCTATCTCAATGCCCCCCCAACCCAAACATGCCATTTTTAAAAGGAAAATCAGACTGCGAGTGAGTGCTCAGTTGATTTAGTCGTGTCTAACCCTTTGCATCTCTCTAGACTGTAGCCTGCCAGGCTCCTCTGAGATTCTCCAGGCAAGAATACTGGAATGGGCTGCCATGCACTCCTCCAGGAGACCTTCCCAACTGAGGGATTAAACCCACATCTCCTACACTGCAGGCAGATTCTTCACCCACTCAGCTACCTGAGAAGCCCTATATTAGAATACAAATAAATATACCTAGTTGGGAAAAAAATGCTTTGTGATAGAAACTGATGCCTGTGTGAACTAAACGTGATGAAGACATTTATTATACACAAATTTTCACAACAGACTCTGAGGTAATGTATTCAAACACTTGCTATGTTATCATCTTCTGGAAGAGAAATAGATTCATCATAGAGTATTAGAAATTCTAGTTGTAAAATTGGATTCTACTTGGAGTGCAATAACAATGTTTTTGAAAGTAGTTGATTCCCATTCAAATGGAAAATATAGTCATTTCATAAATAAAAGGAATACTATAAAGGAAGGTCAAGTAACATCTATAGGACAATTATTTTAGGAAGGTCTTACTCAAAGCTGCTTCAGTAACAATAAACATTGGTCAAAGTAAGATAATCCTCTCAATTTAACAAGCCTCCAGTATTTGATGTACATACCAACAGTGTGAATGGGTTTCCTATAGGGCATTAGTCCAAAATTGTACTGAAAAATTCCTCTGGCGTGGAACAGTGGCAAAGCAAATCCCATGATCTTCTGTAGTTTCTCTTGCACATTTCGAAGCCATGATCCTTCGGGGTTGCTAACTTGTTTAAATAGTTCATTTTCACCAAAAGAAAACACTGGCACCAGATAAGCACTGGAAATAACAAGGAGGAAGAATCAGCATTTTCAATGAAAAGGATTTAAATATTTCATTTAGCAGAGCTGACCTGCAACAGATTCCTCATGATTGTTTAATGTCCCCAAGCCTCCTTGGAGTGCTAAATTTATGTTCCATGTATTGAAACTGAATTACTTCTGAAGTCCTTTGGGGAGGCACCTCAGCTGTCTTAGTGATTTGTGGAATTTTATTCTATAGAAAATCAAGGTTCCAGGAAGTTTCTTTTTCATTTATGGTTTTGGCCATGGTTCACTTGTTCATTTGGTTGGAAATCTATACTGTGCCTATGAAATTTTGTATTTTGCTTGTTTTGCTCTTATAGAAAAGTTGAATGGCTGGATGCCAAGACACTGAGTTATCTTAGAGGGAAGGTTGTCTTCTATTTCCCATAAACATTTACATCTGTATTCACTGGAAGGTCAGTGATGAGGTCTGCTTTTAAGGGCCATAAAGATTACTTCTTTGAGTTCACTTAATAATAGGTTAGCTTCCCTGACCCAGTTGCCTGAAATGAAAAGCCACTTACCCATGGGTCAAAGCAATTTTCACAAATCCCTTCCGCTGGCGGATGAACAGAGTGAACTTTCCAGGATGGGCATCCAGTGATTCCTCTGCGCCCCCGAGCACAATGACTGAGATGTTTCCGCCTCCCTCTTTGCTTAACACGTGGGACACACTTTTCTTGGAAACTGAGACTGGCCCTTAGTGAATAAAACAAAAGGCGTTAACTAATTGCCCTTTAACATTCTTATCTTAAAAATCTATGGCAACAGTCCGCATCCTCTTTGGCACCAGGGACTGGTTTCATGGAAGGCAATTTTTCCACAGGCTGGGCGATGGGGGGTGGTTTGGGGATGATTCAAATGCATTCAGACCGGTTCCAAATAGGAAAAGGAGTACATCAAGGCTGTATATTGTCACCCTGCTTATTTAACTTATATGCAGAGTACATCATGAGAAATGCTGGGCTGGATGAAGCACAAGCTGGACTCAAGATTGCCGGGAGAAATATCAATAACCTCAGATACACAGATGATACCACCCTTATGGCAGAAAGTGAAGAAGAACTAAAGAGCCTCTTGATGAAAGTGAAAGAGGAGATGGAAAAAGTTGGCTTAAAACTCAACATTCAGAAAACTAAGATCATGGCATCTGGTCCCATCAGTTCATGGCAAATAGATGGGAAACAGTGGAAGACTTTATTTTTCTGGGCTCCAAAATCACTGCAGATGGTGACTGCAGCCATGAAATTAAAAGACGCTTACTCCTTGGAAGGAAAGTTTTGACCAACCTGGACAGCATATTAAAAAGCAGAGACATTACTTTGCCAACAAAGGTCCATCTAGTCAAGGCTATGGTTTTTCCAGTAGTTATGTATGGATGTGAGAGTTGGACTATAAAGAAGGCTGAGCACAGAAGAATTGATGCTTTTGAACTGTGGTGTTGGAGAAGACTAGTGAGGGTCCCTTGGACTGCAAGGAGATCCAACCTGTCCATCCTAAAGGAGATCAGTCCTGAGTGTTCACCGGAAGGACTGATGTTAAAGCTGAAACTCCAATACTTTGGCCATCTGATGCGAAGAACTGACTCATCTGAAAAGACCCTGATGCTGGGAAAGAATGAAGGCGGGGGAGAAGGGGACAACAGAGGATGAAATGGTTGGATGGCATCACTGACTTAATGGACATAAGTTTGAGTAAACTCCGGGAGCTGGTGATGGACAGGGAGGCCTGGTGTGCTTCAGTCCATGGTGCTGCAAAGAGTCGGACACGATTGAGCGACTGAACATTTATTGTGCACTTTATTTCTAGTATTATTATATCTGCTCCATTTCAGGTCATCAGGCATTAGGACCCAGAATTTGGGAACCCCGGATTTATGGCACTAGCAAATATTAAACAAAATTTCCTGCACGGCTTATATTTGGAGCACTATGTGGGTTTATAATTTTTCCATAGCCAAATCTTCGATAATAGATCCCATTAATAAGATCTAACATTTTGGCAGGTGATGGGTTAGGTCTTTAAAATGTCACTTGATTATTACTAGGTCTACCAGTTGCTTGAGTAAGTTGTGTACTGCTGAATTCTACAGATTCCACTCATATTGATTTAAAGTAAAAGGTGTCTGCTGAAGTTGTTCAGTGCTAACCTGCACAGCTGTATGTGGTAATCTTGATCATTACCCCAGCAGATCCTTGCTCAGAACCAAACAATATACCCTCCAAGAGGTTGCACTGATCTTCTGTATACCAATGATTTGTTTTCAGGTATTCTATATGGATTTTTATTTCTCAAGCATGGATTTATAATGTAAATGGTTTCAAAAAAAATTCAGACATCTGACAAATAACCTATATCAATTGCTAAATCTGTGCATGGTTCCAAAATGTCTAGTTTGACTTTGGTAAATTGTTTAAGACATAAGTTACATAACTGTTCAATCTTTATATGAGTCTTTCCCATGTAAAAATAAGCTTAAAGATTCCTTTTCAGATTTTAAAAGCACAATGTACTCTTGGAGGAAAATACTATGAACTCTTGAAGAAAACGAATAAAGAAGAAAACACAAACAACTCATGACCCATAATTCAGAGATAATCCCTTCTTAATGTCTTATTGTTTCCTTCCATCCTTGATTTTATCCTTTTTGTGGTTTTAGTCATAAAAGAATGTGCTAGCTTTATCAAGACATAACACTTCATCTCTTGAAGGAAATTACATGCTCATTTTACTGTGCATTTCTATTGCTGGGGGAATATAAAATAAGGACAGGATTCTGAAAAACCAGCTACTCTCTGCAGAGAAGCAGAGGAGAGTGGGTTAGAGGGTAGAGAACCTGGGCACAGAGGGGTGTGAACTCTCGTTGAGTTCAGGGCATGGCCATTCTGCTCTGCATGCCCTGAATGAGAGCTGGAGGCTTCATTTCCACTGAAAAGAGAGCCCCTTGGATTGTCAGACACCTGGCAACCCCCTCTTGCCTCTGTCCACTTCTCAGTTTCCTCCTGAGGCTTCCCTTCTTCAGACCATGCTTAAAAGTTGGTGTTTCTCAGGTCTCTTAGGGACTAAACGTTTATATTCCTCCAAAATTCATAGGTTGAAACTCTAACCCTTAATAGGATGGTATTAAGAGGTGGGGCCTTTGGGAGATAATTAGTTCATAAGAGTGGAGGCCTCCTGAATGGGATTAATGTTTTTTATTATTTATTTATATATTCTAATTAATTAATTTAGCTGCTCAGGGTTTTAGGCACAGCACTCAGGATCTTTAGTTGTTATGAGAACATGTGGGATCTTGTTCCCTGACCAGGGATCGAACCCAGGCCCCCTGCATTGGGAGCGTGGAGTCTTAGCCACTGGGCCACCAGGGAAGTCCCAGGATGAATGTTCTGATAGGAAGAGAACAAATCTAGTTTGTTCTCGTTTCACCACGTGAAGATACAACAAGACAGCTATCTGCAAACCAGCACGTGGGCCATCACCAGACATCAGATTGTCCCAGCCTTCAGACTGCGAGAAATAAATTTCTACTGTTTAATCTATCCAGTCTGCAGTGTTCTCTTATAGCAGCCGATGTCTTTAACCTCATCTCTCCACAAGGAATCAACCACCAACCACGTGTGCTGAGTTCTCCCAAACCCACATACAGGGAGTTTTTCTCCTGAGGCTCCAGGCCTATACCTCCTGTTGCTCAAAGGACATCTCTACCTCAACAGCTTAGAGACACCTCAAATTCCATGCTTCCCAACCCAGTGCATGAAATTCTTCCACAGAGTTGTTTCTCTCCCAACATTATTTATCAAAGCGATTGGGACTATCATCTATCCAGTCACCCAAGTCAGAATGTAGGTTCCTTCCATACACAGTCCCCTCTTTTCATTCACCATGTTCATTCATCACTCATTCATTTGTTCATTCATTCAAAAACACTTACTGAACATCTGCTACAGGTAAGACACTGTGCTAGATGCTGATAAGACAATGAAATACAATTGCTGCCCTCACGAGGCTGAATCAATCACTAAATTTTGTTGCACTGTGTGTGTGCTCAGTCATGTCTGACTCTTTGCGACCCCATGGACTGTAGCCCACCAGGCTCCTCCACCCATGGGATTTTATAGACAAGAATCCTGGAGTGGGGTGCCATTTCCTCCTCCAGGGTATCGTCTCGACCCAGAGATTGAACCTGCATCTCTTGAGTCTCCTGCATCAGCAGGTGAATTCTCTCCCACTGAGCCACTTGGGAACCCCAAGTTTTATAGACTCTATCAACTATTTTTCATATTGATTCCTTGTTCTCTAGTTCCACTACCATAGCCACTGTGCCAGTTTAGCCCTTATCACCTGTCCCTTGATGACTGAAATAGGCCCTTTCATCTTCACAGTCTCCAGGCTCATCTCCCTCTAACTTATCTCCAAGCTGCTCCAAGCTGCTGCCTGCATGACTTACTGTGAAACACAGTGTGGGCTCTAGTCAACACCCACTGAGTATTGATTCACCAAAATGGCCCAAGAGGAATGGCATGGATGTGGAACTTGCAAAGACTTACAGCCACAGAAATCTTGGTAAAAGTAAAACACCATCAGCAGAGGATTTCTGAAACACTGTGGGCCACTTAGAGCTTCCGAAGGTAGAGAATCTCAGTGGTAAAGAATTCACCTGCCAATGCCAGAGACATGGGTTCAATCTCTGGGTCAGGAAGATCCCCTGGAGAAGGAAATGGCGGCCCACTCCACTGTTCTTGCCTGGAGAGTTCCTTGGACAGAGGAGCCTGGCATGCTGCAGTCTATAGGGTCGCAAAAAGTCGAACGCAACTTAGCGACCAAACAACAATGGATTCCTTACTACCTGAGGTCCGGGGCACATGGATGTCTGTCCTTCCCACCCAGAGAGGCAGTCACCAAGGCAGGTGCCTGGCACAGGGGCAGCTTCTGACCGGGGGCAGTCCTAGGAAGCCAGTTGTAGGAAGGGATGAGAACTCCCTAAACTTAGAGACAAGGACAGTCCAAACATCCCTGGTTACAAGTGTGGGTGTTTTTATTTAGCTTTGGGACATAGGAGGTGACAGCAATGAGGCAGATCTCATGATATCATAAGCCAGTGACAGGAGACCGGCTTCATCTCAAATGCCAGTTCTAGAAAACAACAGTGGCACCACGTGGACAAAGACCCTATCATTGGTTATTTGTAGTTGACATGGCCTTGGAGAGGGTATGCCTTCATCTCTCCGGCCACAGATTTGCCACACCTGCTTCCAAATACACTACCCAAACTCGCCTGTGGCTATACTTTGAATCAGCAAACAGTATAATGTAAATGGGGCTTGCCTAGTGGCTCACAGGGTAAAGAATTTGCCTGCAATGCAGAAGATCTGGGTTTGATCCCTGGGTCAGGATCCCTTGAAAAAGGGAAAGGCTATCCATTCCAGTATTCTTGCCTGGGAAATCCCATGGACAGAGAAGTCTGGCGGGCCACAGTCCACGGGGTCACAAACAGTAGGACACGACAGAGTGACTAACACACACAAATAATGTAAATATACCTCCGTGATTTTTTGAAATTAAAAAAAAACCTTTTCATTTTAACTTTCTTCCTTTTATAAAGCTAACCCAGTATCTGCAAAAGAGGAAAGAGAAGGGATTTTTTCCCCCCCACTTAGTTCAGGAGATGGTGGCGGGGGTAGTGCGGCCTCTAGTGGCCAGATGAAGGGACAGCCTAAGTTGGACACAGCCCAGGGTTACATGTGTGAAGGTTCATAAACAGAACCTGGAAACCCAGGCAAGGATGCTGGCCCTTTGGTGTTTAGTGATTTCCAACAAGCTATCTAATGACAACAGAGAATTGAGAAATTAATAGGAAGTGATGAAAACCTGAAAGACCATGAGCAATTCTATCTCTGAATAAGCTCTGATCCTGAAATTACAATTTTCCCAAGAGATTATCCATTTTTCATTATGTCCAAGAAATGCAAAGACAATAATAATTAACCTACACAATGATCATAAACATAAAGCTCTTTGTAAGTTACAAATTGGTCAAGTTGGAAAACCAAAAAAATTGAGCCTCTTAAGTTGAAATAAGACCCATTAACACAATCTTAGGCTTCTGGATACACTCATATAAGATTTTTACAGCATTCTTACTGAATTTTATTCTCAGAATTTGGAGAATTATGGTTTCCCTAATCTGAAAGTCTTCCACTAGTTCAGAGTAGCAGAGTAAAATTTCTGAGCCAAGTTGTACTTAATCTGGGAGGAAAAAGACAGCAGATTCAGTGTGTTTAGTTTATAAATTGCCATTATTCCAAGACACATTGGAGGCCATTTTCAATTTCTACTATTCATAAAAGCAGACAAAGCACCTCTCCAAAGGTACCATTTATTACTTATTTGCTCCAAGCATGATTCTTTCTTTCTCATCTGGATACACAAAATGCATTCATTAATTTATACTTTCATTGAATTAACATCTATTGGACATTCCTAAATCCCAGGTACTATGCTAGATACTATGCTAGTCACTTGGAGAATTATGGGGGAAAAAAATACAGTCTTGCAGGTCAAACAGTAAAGAATCTGTCTGCAGTACATGAGATCCAGGTTTGATCCCTGGGTCAGGAAGATCCCCTGGAGAAGGAAATAAGGAAATAGCAACCCACTCCAGTATTCTTGCCTGGAGAAACCCATGGACAGAGGAGCCTGGCAGACTACAGTCCATGGGGTTGCAAAGAGTTGGGCACGACTAGGCAACTAACACTTTCACTTTCTTTCTGTCTTCCTAGTGTTTCCAGTCTGGTGGGGGAAAGCAAGAACCATCGAAAGGGCATATGAGTGTGACACAGGGATGGACACAGAGTTGTACTCTAAGAAAACATAAACCTGGTTGGTTTGAGAGAGAACATTTTGTGTGGTCCTGCCACCCCAGAACACTGTGGAAATAGTGATCTGCCTTCACTTACCACTACTCATCAGATACTCCCGGAAGAATGGACACCGGAACCAATATGGCAGCACATGAAGATAGGAGGTAAGGCCGGGAAACAGCTCCTTGAAGTTGGAATAATTTGTACAAAAGTTTCCAAAGGCTCCAACCACAAGCACTCCATGAGGGTGAAACCCAAATATGTAGTTGTGACTCGGATCCAAATCCCAAGTTTTGATGAGCTATGGTGCGTTTATGTTGACATAAAAAAATAAAATGTTGCCAGATTAGTTTCCAATAAGAAACAAAAGGATGTAGTTCTACATTCAAGAGGAAATGGAAAGCTTGACTCGTTTTAGTTTCCTGGGATAATGTGTGTTAGTCTTTCAGTCATGTCAGACTTTTTGCGACTCTATGGATTGTAGCCTGCCAGGCTCCTCTATCCGTGCAAGAATACTGGAGTGGTTTGCCATTCCCTTCTCCAAGGGATCTGCCTGATCTAGGGATGAACCCAAGTCTCTCCCATTGCAGACAGTTTCTTCACCATCTGAGCCATCAGGGAAGCCCTCCCTGGGGTAGAGCTGTATTCACATTTTTCAGCTGTGTCCTGAGTCCTTCGAACACAGCCTTCTAAATTTTGTCAATTTAGCTTAGACTCCATTTAGTAAGTTGGGCTGAATTGCAGGCTCTCTTCCTCTAAAAAGGGAAGAGCTTGAAAAATACGTGATAAAAACACATTTGCATTTTTTTCTTAGCTCAAAACCATACTATGTAAAACAGTTCTACTCACATGAATTGGAAAATAGTCCTTAAAGTACCTCCAAATGGTCCAGCTCCTGACCCATTCGGATCTTCTGCCTCCTTGCTCCGGGGTTTGCCAGTCAAAGTAAAGCCACGTCAAGTAAGGGAGGTAGAGGAACCAGTAGTTGCGTATGATCAGGAACACAATAATCCCGAGGCATACCTGTGCTGTAAGAAAGGGGAAGACCTCAGGAATTGCGGTCATTAGAATCTGCCCACTGTTCGTACAATCACTGGTTCAAGGTGTCGTTGTTGTTGTTGTTCAGTCGCTAAGTTGAATCCAACTCTTTGCGACCCATGGACTGCAGCATACCAGACTCCTCTGTCCTCCACCATCTCCCAGAGTTTGTTCAAATTCATGTCCACTGAGTCAGTGATGCTATCTAACCATCCCATCCTCTGTTGCTCCCTTCTCCTCTTGCCCTCAATCTTTCCCAGCATCAGAGTCTTTTCCAGTGAGTTGGTTCTTTGCATCAGGTGGCCCAAGGTAGAAGGATCTAATATATACAAAGTATGTTTAAGTGAGCCTCAGTTCAACTGAGGCAGTGTAACAAGACAGCAACGGTATAGTATGACTTAACATTTCTTGGATGTATAGTATATGGCAACTTCTATATTGTGGGTGTCACCAAAATATTTAAGTTTAATCCTCATATAGCCACAACATCATTGAAGCAGCCAGAGCATTCCTAATGTTGTTTGTTCCTTTTTTTCCTGGGCTTCAATTTCTTTGTTTTTTAAAAGTCTAGAAAGTAATTTTTCACAAAACAGTATAATTTAGAAGTGAGGTACATTTTTTAGCTTTTTATTTTCATATATAGTTGATTAACAGTGTTGTATTAGTTTCAGGTGTAAAGTGATTCAGTCATATGTATACTTGTCTGCATGCTTGTGTGTGCATGCTAAGCTGCTTCGGTTGTGTCCGACTCTTTGCAACCCTATGGACCACGGCCCGCCAGGCTCCTCTGTCCACGCAATTCTCCAGACAAAAATACTGGAGTGGGTTGCCACTTCCTCCTTCAGGGGATCTTCCCAACCCAGGGATCAAACTCTCATCTCTTATGTCTCCCACACCGGCAGGCAGGTTCTTTGCCACTAGCACCACCTAGGAAGCCCAATACTTGTGTCTATTCTTTTTCAAATGCTTTTCCTTTTTAGGTTATTACATAATATTGAGCTAATGTACTTTTTATAGTAGTGAAAATTGCAGCTTAAGGAGATTAAGTGAATTGCTCAAGACACACAAATTGTAAGTGACTGACCCGTCTAAATTCAAGGTCCATTCTCAAAGTCCATGACCCTACACCACCACCCCACTGCATCCCCAGTGCAGAGGAACTGTCGTTAACAAGACGGATGCAGAAGAGTTCCTACTACAAGTATTCACCTTGATTGAGCAGTTATTCATCATATGCCCATGAAAAGGGCACATTCCACTGAGAAACTTCATTTTCAGGAACTCTATTGCCAGAGATAGAATAAAATAGAAGAAACTCTGTGCCTTGGCTCACCTACCACTTCTTGCATCATTTCACGGCAGAGCAATTCTAATTATTTGTGCACCTAATGACGGAGACTCAAATAGATAGAGCAGGAACTGATAAAACTTGACCTGGGCAATAGTGACAAGAATATTTGCCTTTAAGTAATACATTAAGCTAAGCTACACATTTTTTTGTGTCGATGCTGTGCATGCGTGCAAAGTTGCTTCAGCCATATCTGATTCTTTGTGACCCCATGGACTCTAATCCACCAGGCTCCTCTGTCCATGAAATTCTCCAGGCAAGAATACTGGAGTGGGTTGCCATGGCCTCCTCCAGGGGATCTTCCTGACCCAGGGATCAAACCTATGTCTCTTATGTCTCCTCCATTGGCAGGTGGGTTTTCTTTACCACTAGTGCCACCTGGAAAGCCCACATGTCTATGCTGTGTGTCAGGTTTTTTAAAATTATAAAAAGAAAAATATATCAATGGGGAAGAGCACAGAGACTTAAAGCCTGGCACAGAGCAAGTGCTCAACAAATGCCAGCCATTACTATTACTCTAAGGAGTAGCATTGCTTCTTTCTTCTTTATTATGTGCTGAGTCACTTATCTCGTGCTGACTTTATCTCCCAGCTCCTATCCATTCTCAACTTTGTCCCAGTGGTTGGGGCCCTGCACTTGCCCTGCCACAGTGTGATCAAAAAAATGTAATAAACATAAGGAGAACAATAAGAATAATAAAAGAACAATGATGGTGAGAGCAGCTGTTTTGCCCCTTTCCTATTTGCCCAGTTCTGTTCCCTTCTAACTTTAAAAGAACCTAGTTACAGGAAAGAGATCACTAAGCCATTGAAATGAACTCCGGACTTAGGCTCTCCTGAATGCACACCATGCTTTGCCTAACCTGTTGATTCTTTCCCTAGATAAAAAGAAGTGTAAATGAAGAATTATACAGTTAACAAAATGACTAGCTCTCTACCCCCAAGCAAATACTGCAGGCAGATCATACAGGCAAGATAATATCTGAAGACTCAGCCAGCCTGTGCTCATGGAGAATGATGTAGAACTCAACCTCCTACCTGGATGATTCACTGGGATGCTTCCCCCTCTCACATTTTCCCCTTTAAAAATTGTCATGGCTGAGCATAATCTTCAGAGCTGGTCTCTAGACATGAATCCACCTTCTCCCAGGCGGCTGGCTTTCCTTATCAAAGCACCTTTCCTTTCTACTAACACTTGTCTCTTGAATTACTGGCTTACCAGCTGAACCCAGGTTTGGTAAAAGTGGCATATAGGAAACTCCCAAATAAATGTTAGCTATCAGCCATCATTAACTGTTTGAGATCTTTATAAATACCAGTTCCATATGTCTCAACCCAGTTTTTTATTTATTTCCCAGTGCATATATTATTTTGATAAAAATTTTAAAAACAGGTGAACAAGAGGAAAGGAATATGACAAAACATTTACAATAGGTATCTCTGGATGAGAAAATGCTTTCTAGTCTATTCTAAAAGTTCTTCTACAGTTTCTAATTTTTCTAATAACTAGCATGAATTATCTTATAATCAAAACTTTTAAAAAATTAAATAAAATGATTCCACTAAAGGAAAAAAAGTAAACAAAACACTGCAAAATGTCTACTTATGTAAGAATATTTTCATCTTTAACATGATTTTATTAAAATACCATGAACAAATCTCATCAGAAAAACACTGTGAAAACTTGTGGAAGTTTATTTATTTGCATTAAATAGTGACTAGGGACCAATATTAAGAAATTATTTAAAATATTTAACTTGTATGGGTACCATTTCCACTTGTGTCTAAGAAGTTTTCCTTTGTCCCCATAAAAACTATTTCTATACTTATTTTAGCCATTTAACATAGTATAGAGAAAGAAAAGAATTCAGAGGCAAGCAAATCCTTTAGCACATCACATTCTTTTCCTTTTTATTCCTGAGGCATTGTGTTTCAAAACATCAATCAGTGCCATCTGCTAAGTATAAGACTATAATTTTAACATTCCTCTAATTTTTAAAATTCTTGCCTTAAGAAAATTGACTTCCAGAGTTTCTTAGGATGAGGATGGTGCTAAAACACAAATCTAGGAATCCCTCAAAAAATTTTACAGTCTAGTATTCCTCATATGTGGGTCTGCTCCATACAGCCTTTAAAAAGTATCTACTTATAAGGATTCACACTTTTCTTGGTTAAAGATGAATTCATTATTGGAACTGTTTCTTTGCCTAATGAAGTCAAATTATAACAAGGATTGAGTTGAAACCAGTCCCATTTTCGTACTATTTCAGAAAGCTTTACAAGCTGAAGGACAAAAGAAACATAAATAATTTGTATAGCTACAAACTAAAAACCACAAAGATAATCCATGATAGAAGAGGAATAGTGTTCATGCAAGTCCAAGAATCTAGTAGAGATCACTAGAGTGAACATTAAAACGTGCTCCCTCAAAATCTTCTAGATTAAGGGAGACTAAAAAGATTTAATTTAATACATGTAGATTCCTTTGCTATATAGGACATTAGTGGGGCAATTGGTGAAATATGAATAGGGCCCCTGGATTAGGTCATAGTTCTGTTCAGTTGCTCAGTCTGTCTGACTCTTTGCAACCCCATGGACTGCAGCACGCCAGGCCTCCCTGTCCGTCACCAACTCCCAGAGTTGACTCAAACTCATGTCCATTGAGTTGGTGATGCCATCCAATCATCTCATCCTCTGCCATCCCCTTCTCTTCCTCCCTTCAATCTTTCCCAGCATCAGGGTCTTTTCAAATGAGTCAGTCAGGTCATAGTGCAGCATCACTACTATTTTTTTTTTATTTGGACACAATCACAGAAAACTAACCAATCTGATCACATGGATCACAGTCTTATCTAACTCAGGGAAACTATGAGCCATGCTATGTAGGGCCACCCAAGACAGACGGATCATGGTGGAGAGTTCTGACAAAATGTGGTCCACTGGAGAAGGGAATGACAAACCACTTCAGCATTCTTGCCTTGAGAATCCCATGAAAAGTATGAAGAGGCAAAAAGATGTGACACTGAAAGATGAACTCCCTATGTTGGTAGGTGCCCAATATGCTACTGGAGAAGAGTGGAGAAATAACTCCAGAAAGAATGAAGAGGCTGAGCCAAAGCAGAAACAATGCACAGTTGTGGATGTAACTGGTGATGGAAGTAAAGTCTGATGCTATAAAGAACAATACTGCACAGGAACCTGGAATGTTAGGTCCACGAATCAAAGTAAATTGGCAGTGGTCAAATAGGAGATGGTGAGCGTGAACAATGACATTTTAGGAATCAGTGAGCTCCAAATGGGTGAATTTAATTCAGATGACCATTATATCTACTACTGTGGGCAAGAATCCCTTAGAAGAAATGGAGTAGCCATCATAGTAAACAAGAGAGTCTGCAGTACTTGGATGCAATCTCAAAAATGACAGAATGATCTCAGTTCACTTGCAAGGCAAACGAAATATCACAGTAAACCAAGTCTATACTCCAACCACTAATGCCAAAGATGCTGAAGTTAAGTGGTTCTATGAAGACCCACAACTAACTAACACCAAAAAAAGATGTCTTTTCATCATCGGGGACTGGAATGCAAAAGCAGGAAGTCAAGAGATATACCTGGAGTAACAGGCAAGTTTGGCCTTAAGTAC